ATGTGTGTGATATGGGAACATGTATGTAGTGTCACATGTGTGTGATACGGGAACATGTATGTAGTGTCACATGTGTGTGAAGTGGGAACATGTATGTAGTGTCACATGTGTGTGAAGTGGGAACATGTATGTAGTGTCAAATGTGTGTGATACGGGACATGTATGTAGTGTCACATGATTGTGTGTGCGAGAACACAGCTGCAATGGAACACGCATGTGATAGGGAACATGTATGTTGCATCACATGTATGTGAGAACACGGTGCTGCTTCAGAACACCAGTTTTGGGGTGGGAACACGTGTGTGAGAGAACTTGGAAGTGCATCAGAACACGTGTGTGACGTGGGAACACGTGTGTGCTGTGTCACACGTGTGTGCGACTACATGGAGCTGTGTCAACACACATGTGACACGGGAACTCGTATGAAGTGGTGCACATGTGCGAGATGAGAACATGTATGTAGTGTTGCAAACATGTATGTAGTGTCGCATGTGTGAGACAACAGCAACACGGCTGCATCAGAGCACACGTGTGGCATTGGAACTTTGTCAGAACACACGTGTGACATGGGAACATGTATGAAGTGTCATGTGATTGAGAGAACAGCCGCATCAGAATGCATGTGTGATGTGGGAACACGTGTGTAGTGTCACATGTGAGAGAGAGAACACGGAACTGCATTGGAACACACGTGTGTTGTGGGAACACGTGTGAGAGAATGTGAACCTGCATCAGATGCGTGTCTTGGGAACATGTATGTAGTGCTACACGTGTGTGAGAGAACACGGAGCTGCATCAGAACGCGCGTGAGACATGGGAACGCGTGTGCGCAGTGTCACATGTGTGTGAGAACATGGAGCTTCACCAACACACGTGTGACGTGGGAACATGTATGTAGTGTCGCACGTGTTTGAGAGAACACAGCTGCATCAGAACACGCGTGTGACGCGGGAAGACATGTGTAAGGATCACGTATGTACAGGAATAAAAACGCTCATTGGTACATGGATACGCATGGAACATGTGAACATGCGTGTGGGGACACAGAACTTCATTGGAACACGTGTGACGTGGGAACACGTGTGTGCAATGTCACGTGTGTGGGAGAACAGAGCTGCATCGGAACACGCATGTAACAGGGCAACATATGTGCAGTGTCGCACGCATGTAAGAGAACACAGCTGCATCAGAACACGCGTGTGATGGGGGGAGATGTGTGCAGGGATCACGTATGGACTGGAATAAAAACGCTCGTCAGAACACGGATCCGCATGACGGGAACATGTGTGTGTGGAGATACACGTGTGAGATCGGTCACGTGTGTGCGAGGTTACACGTGCGAGAGAACACGGAATGGTGTCAGAACACGCGTGTGCGATGTGGGGGCAGGGGGACACGTGTGTAAACCATCACATGCATGTAAGAGAACACAGTACTGCGTGTCAGAGCGCGCTTGTGTGACACGTGGACACGCGTGTGTGAGGGCACACGCATCGCTCCAGAGCCCCATGTTCCCATGTATGGGGATGGGTTCTTTCCATGTTTTCCTGTGTTATCACATGTCCACATGAGCGGGGACTCCATGCTCTTTCCGTGTTTCCCTGTGTTCTTCCCATGTTCTTCCCATGTCTCAGCAGAACATGGTTTTTTTGTGTTTTCCTGTGTTCTTTCCATGTTTCTCTGTGTTCTTTTTGCTTCCCTGAGTTCTTCCCATTTTCTTCCCATGTTCTTCCCGTGTCTCCCCGTGTCCCCACAGAATATGTTCTTGCCATGTTCTTTCTGTGTTCTTCCCATGTTCTTTCCATGTTCTTTCCATGTCCCCACAGAGCACGTTCTTCCCATGTTCTTCCCATGTTCTTCCCATGTCTCCCCATGTCCCCACAGAACACGTTCTTCCCATCTTCCTTCCATGTTCTTCCCATGTCCCCACAGAACACACTCTTCCCATGTTCTCCCACATCACCCCGTGTTTCCCTATGTCTTCCTGTGTTCTTCCCATGTTTCTGCGTGTCCTTCCCGTGTTTCCCCATGTCATCCCGTGTTTCCCCATGTCATCCCGTGTTCCCACATCCCCATATGGGGACACATTCTTCCCATGTCTCCTCCACGTCATCCTATGTTTCCCCGTGTCTCTCCCCGCCCCCATGTTCACATATCACGACACGTTCTTTCCATGTTTCCCCGTGTTCTTTGCGTGTTTTCCGCTGCTCTTTCCGTGTTTCCCCGTGTCCTTTCCACGCTTCCTCAAGTCCTTCCCATGTCCTTTCCCATGTCGTTCCCATGTCCTTCCCATGTCCTTCCCATGTCCTTCCCATGTCCTTCCCATGTCCTTCCCATGTCCTTCCTATGTCCTTCCCATGTCCTACCCATGTCCTTCCCATGTCCTTCCCATGCCTTTCCCATGTCGTTCCCATGTCCTTCCCATGTCCTTCCCATGTCCTTCCCATGTCCTTCCTATGTCCTTCCCATGTCCTTCCCATGCCCTTCCCATGTCCTTCCCATGTCCTTCCCATGTCCTTCCTATGTCCTTCCCATGTCTCTCCCATGTCCTTCCAATGTCCCTCCCATGTCCTTCCCATGTCCTTCCCATGCCCTTCCCATGTCCTTCCCATGTCCTTCCCATGTCCTTCCCATGTCCTTCCAATGTCCCTCCCATGTCCTTCCCATGTCCTTCCCATGTCCTTCCCATGTTCTTCCCATGTCCTTCCCATGCCCTTCCCATGTCCTTCCCATGTCCTTCCCATGCCCTTCCCATGTCCTTCCCATGTCCTTCCCATGCCCTTCCCATTCCCTTCCCATGTCCTTCCCATGTCCCTCCCATGTCCTTCCCATGTCCTTCCCATGTCCTTCCCATGTCCTTCCCATG